TATATATATATATATATATATATATATATATATATATATATATATATATATATATATATGTATATATAAATAATATTTATATATATATATATATATATATATATATATATATATATATAGGCGGTGCTGTCTTTCAGAAAAGGTGTTTCTGCTCCTGTTCTCGCTGTTGAGGCTGCTGCTGCAATCTTTGCTCTTGCTGCTGCTGCCAGCACCCTGAAGCTGCCGCTGTTGCAGTTGCAAGCGCTGCTGCTGCAGCTGCTGCAGCTGCTGCAGCTGCTGTAGGTGGTGTAACTGCTGCAGCTGCTACTTCCGTTGCTGCTAGTATATCTGCAGCTGCTGCTGTTGGTGCTGCAGTGCTCTTTCACCGGCATTGTTCGCGTCAGCGCCTACTGCTGTTACTGTGATTGCTGTTGCTGCTGCTGCTATTGCTGCTGCTGCTATTGCTGCTGCTGCTGCTGCTCAGACGGCTGCAGTGCGGCAGGGCCTGGGGGACGTGGTGCCGCTGCAGATCGTTGACTTGCTGGAGCCCTATCAGCTGCAGCGGCTGGTGTGCGGCAGTCCCTCTATTGACCTGCAGCTGCTTAAGAGTCACACCAAGTATACAGGCTACACAGTAAGCTGCTGCTGCTGCTGCTGCTGCTGTTGCTGCTACGGCTTTTGCTGCTGCTGCACCAATGACTGATACTATGGGCGCTGTGCCGTCTACTGGTGCTGCTTTTGGTGGTGGCGCTGCAGCTGCCACTGCTGCCGCTCTTGCTTCTGCTGCTTCTGGTCCTGCTGTTGCTGCTGCTGCTGCTGTCTCAGTGTCAGCTGATGCTGTACGAGGAGACATACAAGCGAGTATTTGCCAGCAGGAAAGAGCCGCAATCGCAGGGGCTTCACTGCTGCTGCTGCTGCTGCTGCTGCTGCTGGTCCTGTAGCCTGAAGCAGGTGCAGCTGTTGCTGCAGCAATAGCACCGCTCCAGTAACGAATACGGGTGCTGCAGCTGAGCGACTCCCTTTGTTTTGTTCCTCTTTCTGGTGCGCACACCTGCTGCTGCTGCTGCTGCTGCTGTTGCTGCTGCTGCTGCTGTTCAGGAGTCTGACAAGCAGATAAAGTGGTTCTGGGAAGCGTTGGAGTCTTTCTCTCAAGCAGAGCGACAAAGATTTCTGCGGTTTGTTTGGGGGCGGTCTCGGCTGCCGCTGGCGCATGCAGCGTGGGAGCAGGACATGGAGGTGACTCTAAAGGTGCCGGTGCAGCCAGTACAGAGCAGCAACAGGCCCC